TATTTTACATCACCCTTTATGTTGTTTGATCAACTGTGCTCTGAAAGTTGTGTGAAAACCTTCATAAACATTCACACCCAGGCAAACAATGGAGTGATTCAAAGATAAGAGAAATTAGCTGGGCAGGGGTGACACACGCCTTTAATCCCAGCATTTAGGAGGCAGAGGCAAAAGAATCTCTGAGTTAGAGGCCAGGCTGGTCTACAGAGGGAGTTCCAGGAGAGCTGGGGCTCTACAGAGAAACCTTGTCATGAAAAACAAAAACAAAAACAAAAAACCTGGGTAGCATTAGGCAGAAGCTAATGGATCTCTGTGAGTTTGAGGCCAGCCTGATCTACAAAGTAAGTTCCAGAGCAATCAGAGCTATCACACAAACAAACCCTGTCTCAAAAAAAGAAGAGGGGGGAAAAGAAAGGAAAAGAAAACACACAGTCCACGATAAAGGTGGGGACCGGGGGGGGGGGGGGGGTGGGCAGCGTGCAAGCAAGGAAGAAAGAGAGAAAGAAAGAAAATGTTTAAAAAGACAAGAGAAATTGCCTGTGAGCCCACTCAAGTGCTCATAGAGATTAGTGAGCAAGAAAAGAGCAAGAGATCAGCAGGGGAAAAAAGATCACCAAATAGGTAACTGAAGGTTGTACATATGAGCACCTACCCCCAGGAATCCACAGGATCACCCTAACATGTAATTTAGGAGTGGAGCACTTTTATTCAAGACTCAGAACTTAACAAGAACTCAGGGAATACCTGTCTCCGTGTACGTAAGACCAGGTCTAAGTTCTGAGAGTTCTGGAGAAGACTGGTGGCATGTCCTGATCTCCTGATCTGGGTTTCTCTTTTCTTTTCCATAACGATGCTTTGGACACATAAGCACCATCATCAGCATCACTATCTCGGAGACAGATGGGGAAGTTCTGGCAAGAGCTCTCCTGGCAAGAGACATTATTGGAATGTCTCACTTTCATGGTGTTGCACATTTACATAGCTAGGAATGCCTAAGTGAGAAATCTGCCTTTGCACCTTCCCATTACTGCCACACATTTGAATGTGTGTGTTTGTGCTCCTGTATAAACATGCCAATGCGCTCTAATGCATGTGAGTACAACTACTTCCTGGAAGAGTGGAATTTGTGCTACAATCTATAAAAAAAAAAGGCCATGGAAATTCTCTGCAACTGCTTGTGACATTTTTCAGCTGTTGTTCCAACATTTTCCCAAAAGCTAAGTACTGAATTATGATTACAGTCACAAATTAACACAGTGTGCTGTTATTTCTAGAATAATAGCCTTGGAGTAATTTTTATTTGTCCAATCAATTGAAAGACTTGGGAATAATGACTGTTCCTTGGCCATAACAATTAATGCTTTAGAAGGTTTCCCCCTCATAAGAAAACCTATTCCAAGTTCAAGCCTATAAGGATTCTGTATATTCACAGCTGGGGTCTGGTCTGGCGCCTTATTATGCTGTGTATTGCCTTTATTATGTTTATGTATGTCTCTTGTATCCCTGATCACTCAAGACTTTTATCATGAAGGGGTATTAGATTTTGTCAGAGGCCTGTTCTGCATCTGAGATGATCATGTGGTTTTGTCTTTCTGACTATTTATGTGGTGGATTAGGTTTATCTATTTGGGGTGAAGCCAACTTGATCATTGTGGACAATGTTTTTTGATGCACTTGTAGATTCAGTTTATAAGTACTTTACTGAGAATTTTTGCATCTATGTTCATAAGGGTGTTGGTCTATAATTTCCTTTTTCTCTTGAGTCACTGTGTGATTTTAATATTAGGGTAGTAGTGGCCTCATAAGAAGAATTAGGAAATGCCCTTCAGTTTCTATTTTGAAGAATAATTTGAGGAGTATTATCATTAATTCTTCTTTGAAGGTCCAACAGAATTTTCCACTGAGTCTATCTGCACCAGGACTTTGTTATTGGGAGACTTTTAATTACTGCCTTTATTTCACTAGGGGTTATGGGTCTTTTTAGATTGTTTATTTAATCTTGATTTAACTTGGGTACATATCAAAAATTCATCCATTTCTTTTAGATTTTCCAATTTGGTGGAATATAAATTTTTAAACTATGTTCACCAAATGTTTTGGATTATGGTGACTCTGCGGCACATATAGTCAGAATTTATACATTATACTAACCAGGGCAATAGTTTCTTGCTTTCCATCAACCTCAGCTCCTATACTACAATAAAACAAATTCTCTGGGATTTTTGTTTGCTTGTTTGTTTGTTTTTTGTTGTTTATTTGTTTTTTATCTCTAACTTTGATGCCTACAATTAAAATGCTCTTTTATTCAAATCAAAATAGATTCCTTCATGGCAAGACCTTTTTGCAAGCTACTGTAATATAAAATATATATACATATATATGTGAGTGTATATATATATATATATATATATATATATATCTCTTTTCATAAACTTTCTTTCTCATTTTCCAGAATAATTTACACCTTTACCTCTTTATCATTCTTTTCTGAAAATTTGTTGGCTATTTTTATTTATCATAAAGATATAAAATAGGTAAGTATTAAATATTTCTGTGTTCTACATTATAATTTAGGGGGTTTTGAGAACTTCATCTTAAAGTCAGTTTTGATTATCAAGTTTCAAAGTTATCATCATTGCCTATTTGTTTTTTAATCTTTTTGTTAAAGTTGTCTGAAGACAAGTGAACACCAAATGCATTTCTTATAGAAATGTCATATAAAAGGAAATTAGAAAGACATGTATGCACAGGGTAGACTGTTTCATCACAGACCGAAAGCCTCCTCATGAATCAGTGGCTTCCTTTCCTAATGAATTGGGCAGTACAGAATCCTAATGAATTGGGCAGAACAGAACCCTAATGAACTGGGCAAGACAGAACCTTGATGAATTGGGCAGTACAGAACTCTAATGAATTGGGCAAAACAGAATCCTGATGAATTGGGCAGAACAGAATCAGTGGTGAAGGTGGAGCATCATAAAACAAGGTTCACTTTCACCTTCCAAGGCTCACTGGAGGGAAAGAGGGAAAGCCACACATGTGAGACAGTGAGGGGCTGTTAGGAAGCAAAGGAAGCCGATGGGACGTCTCAGGGGTGATTCTTACAATCTCAATGTCATTTCACTACCAGCCTCATTATGCACCAGCATCTTAGAAAACAAGGAAGCCAAGAAATGAGAGCAGTGTTTGTGGCTCTCCTTCTGCATTATGCTCTGTTAACTGAGTCCACCCCAGTGCTCACCATCGAGAAAACATGGCCAAGAAATCTGAGGAGGGTGTGAAGCAAGGACAAGGCAGATATGCATTCTACCTGAAGACAGGGGAGTTGAGTGTACAGTCCCACTAGGAATAAAATACAGCTGTGGCTCCAGCAGACCTCGGGGTTCATATCTGACTTAAGGTTCCATTGCAATTCTTTAAGATTTGACTAGTGACTAGTTTTATTCTAATCACTTATGTTGGGCTCTTACTGAAGTTCCCAACCATCAGAGTCATTTTGCCCTCTCAGAACGGATCAGGCCAATGCTTACACAAGCCAGTCCCTTAAAACAAACAATTTAAACTGGGAAAGAACGATAACAAGAGTCCGTGGGACACCAGCCCGTGACGATGGTCTTAGAGCTGAAGACATCAAACCGGCACCTCCGAGGCAAGTGCAGCTGTTCTGCACACTACTTAGTGCCGGAAAATCTGAAGGGATGTCAGACAGCATCTCATCTCCACTCCACTTCCTTCCCAGAGACCTGAGTTGTGGTGGCCAGCTTAATACTCAGGCTCGTCCATTTCCAATCCTGAACCCTTCCTCGTATTCATAATGACAGCTTAGTTTTCATAATAGCTGGTGTGTACTAATTCTAGGTCGTTTACAAGAAGTGCTGCTTCACTTAATCCTACAACCACCCCACACACCCGCTCTTGCCATCTGAAACCCAGCGTGGCTAACCAACTTGCTCAATCCCAAAGCCAGGCATGGTGGCACACACCTTTAATCCCAGCACTCCGGAGGCAGAAGGTGGTGGATCTCTGTGAGCTGGAGGACTGACTGGTCTCTAGGGCAAGTTCCAGGATAGCCAGAGCTACATAGTGAGACACTAGATAGATGATAGATAGATAGATAGATAGATAGATAGATAGATAGATAGATAGATAGATAGATAGATAGAT